CCAAAGCTACCACGTAAGTCTTATGGATGTAAACAGCTGAGAGTCAGCTGGCTGACTCTACTCCAGTCTTCTGGATCCTTCACTTCTTGGTAAGTGATCAGTATTTTGATATTGCTGTAGAAACAACAGGAAATGATCTGTTAGAAATCTGGATCTCCTACTAAAGATGAGTGCCAGGGTAAGAAAAAAAAAGTAACCTACAAAACAGTCTGCAGAATTAGTTCTGAGACCACAGGGAGAGAACAGCAATTTGCTTTCAAGATTGGCAAAGTGAACGCACAGTGGAAGGTTTTATGGTAACTGTGAACCACCTCAGTGGAAAGCTAAGACTGTGATCACAGTAATTTTGACCAAGACGGTAAATGCTACAGCTTGAATAAGAATCATGTTAAATAGCTTTTCCGTAAATAAACATTTCCTCAGAAAGTTTCACAAGTTTGCATACTTGGAAAACAGTAAGTTGGTTCTGCTCAGCAGAGAAGATAAACAGTAATGATGAAGCTAGCTGTGGAATAAAGCAAGGGTACTTTAAAAAGAAGACTGCCTAGTAACATTGAAAAGAACTTAAACTTTTTCAATGTTAAAGTTGTGATTCATTTTAATTATTTTTATGGTTTATAATATAGTTTTCTACTTAATGAGACTTGATTTTTTTTAATTTTTATTTTTTCTTCACAATTTATTCATTATAAATCCCAATTGAAGCCCCGCCCTCAATTCCCCCAGTCCCACTCTCCCTTCATATTCTCCTCATCCCCTTCCCCTAGTCCATTCTTTCTGTGAATAGAGTACATAACTAATCTTTGAGGCTCTTGCTCTTACTCTATCTTCCTCCCTCAAGGCTTTTTGGGCACAAGTGAGTGAATGAAAACAAAACCAACAAAATGGTAGACCAAGCTCATAGAGCTTAAAGGCTGGTAAATTGTAGAAAAATCTCCCAATATTGTCTCCAGGGAGTCACAGCAGAAGTCAGAAATGTGGATAAAGAAAGATAATCTTGACCTAAAAGACTTACAAAACAAAAAATGTCCACATACAACCAAAACATATAAATTACATCCCCTAATACTTAGTGTAATATATTGAGACTTTTTATTTTTAAGATATAAGTGCTAACTTTAAAATAAACAAACTAGAACTCAGAAATAATAAACCAGTTATTCTACTTAACTTTAAAGTGGTTAAATAAGGGTGTGTGTGTGTGTGTGTGTATGTGTGTGTGTACGTGCACATATTTGATTTTGTCCTTAAAATAGTATCCATATGGCTAAGAGAACAGGAGGCATGGGATCTAAAATTATTTTTAAAGCTCTGTATTTTAATTGTTGAATGCTTTCAAACAAGAATAAATGTGTCAAAATGCTTCTTGGTTCAGAATACACAAACCACACTTCCAATTAATTACCCATATAAAAAGCAATGATAGTTTAAATTCAAGAACAAATTTGAAAAGTGAAACACCAGCCAATATCACAAAGAGTGTTTCTTTCTAAACTCTGACTCCTCTACAATATCTTCCTTGGCTTCACTTTTGTCTTCCAGGTTAAGAAGAAAATTTCCCACAGTCTTTTTTCACCAATCAGAGATCATACCATTTTCTGGATTCTGATTGATTGGTCAGAAACTTCATATTGTCCCCAGTAGACTAGAAGAAACTAGAAAACAAAGTGTGTGCCGGCTTCACCTAGGTTTCCTTATGCCAAATCTAGGCAGACAAAAGATTGATCAGTTACACCAACTTCCTTGCACAGCTGTGTTCTGTGATAAATGAAATTTAAAATTCCACATTTCAAAAATTTCTTGTAACATTTTCTCAAACTGATCTTCCAAGTGTCATATTCTCTAAATTACTTGTGAAACTTTAACCCTAGAACCATTAAGTAGACATTTCCAATGAATCGCTAACTCTTCTGCCCGTTCTGTCTAATGGCTTTTCTACTCTCAGATTTCAACTCTGAGGCCCTGTACGGTAAGAGATACTATCACTTCATCCTTTAGGTAATTCCTAAAGGAGAGTGAGCTATTTCCTCTCAGCTTTACTAACATATAACTCACACCCAACAGCCTGCACAAATGTAAAGCATGGCACTTGGTGAGGCCGGGACTGTGTGTGCATGTGCATGAAGCCCCTGTCACATCAGGGTGCTTTCCCACGACTCGCCCAAGCAGCCACCTTTCTCCTGCCCATGCCCTGTGCTACAGAGTCACGGCTGCACTTCCTATTCCAGCTATTGTCTTAGCTGCATCTTCTGGATTCCTTACTTTAAAAAGATAGAACCATATGTATGCATTCTCTTGAATTTCTCTCTTCACAGAGGTAACGTATCCACATTGTTACATACAGACTGCTCATTTTTACTGCTGAATAGTTACTACATAGATAGACTAAAATTTCTTTACATACCCTCCTATTGACTTTGAGTATCCTTAATTCTAACATCCAAAATCTGGAATGACCTGAAACTTTCTGAGCACTCCACACCTGACTCATGTAAAAGCCACACTATTGTATAAGGTGTACACAAAACAAATGTTATGTTGGTAAATTCGGGTTCCTATCCCTTAAAATGTCTCATGTGCATGTGAATTATCACATTTACCAATTTTATATCAAATATCACATAATATCAAAATTATCCCCTAAAGTCCAAACTTCCAAATCATTCCTGGTCTTAAGCATTATAAAGTCTACAACCTGTATTAGAAATGAAGCTTCAAAGAGCATGCCCACATGAATTTTCAAGACACACACTTTCTTCCCTCGGGACAATATTAGTACATGGGAAACAGAAGGGCTGGTCAGTTTCACTTGGTGAATGGCAGTGAAATCTTTCCCTCATTTTTAACTAATTTCTTCCTGTTGAGTTTTAAGAAAATAGAAATCTGGATAGAAATTGTGGATGGAAATCTTTGTAATCATTTCCATGTAATTTCTATTACATGGAAATCTATGTAATGAACATGCCCTTTCATGCACAGAAGTCCACACAGGCCAGGTGGATGGTCTACCACATCTATGGTCTGAGAGTAGAAATAAATAATAAATGACCGAATAATAATATTTAGTTTGGGTGTTGTTTAGACACCCAATGTCTAACTGCTGAGCACAAGCTGGCCTGAAACTCATAACTCTCATCTCAGCTTACCAAGTAATGGGATAAAAAATGTGAACTTTTAAAAGTGAAGCATAGTCTGGGGGACATATTTACCTTACACAAGAAATGTGCTTAATCCCAGCGCCACACACTCCACAAAAGGTGAAAGTTTAAAAATTGTTTGTTTCTACTTGTGCTCTCCCCTTTGATGAACATCCCTCCCATTTCCCCTTCTCTCTCAGCCCCCTTCCTTTTGTCATTTTAAGTGACCCACTGCGCATATTTAGGGTGTGCTTTTTGCAAGTTTTCTTGGTCTCTAGCTCCTCTGGGAAGGACAAGGTCTCATGTGTCCCTCCCAACCTGCGATAAAACAGTGATGGGCCCAGCCTGTGACTATAGCCACTGCTGCCGTGAGTTCCCACCTTTCAGCTCTTACCTTCTTTTTTCCCTTCTTCCATGATGTTCCTGGAACTTGGAAAGGAGATACAGACTTCCCATTAGGGCAGCACACTCCATAGTCACTTGTTGTAAGCACGATGATCAGTTATAGATCTCTGCACTGCAAAGAGATGCTTCTCTAAACAAGGCTGAGAACAGGAAACTGCTTTAATAGTTAGGCTTCAGCAATATGAATACATCATTTGTTTTTCAGACTATTGTGTTAAGGAAATATATATCTCTATAATACTCGGCTATCAGATCTGTCACGCCTATTAAGATGGTCAGCCTCACACTACATGGCAACTAGGTAAACAGGATTAGCAGACTGCTGGCCTAGCATGCACCAAACTCTGGGATCCATCCCCAGCATCACATGAAGTTGGACTGTGATTCTAGCAGTCGGTAGGTAAAGCCAGAAGGATCAGTTCAAGGGCATCCTCAACTACAGGGCAAATTTGGGTCAGCCTGGGCTATATCTATAAAATCACGGGTTTTCTTGACATTCTTTTCAGTTCCTCTCAATTTTGGAATGTCTTAGAAAACTAGTGGGATAATGTACAAGATTAGTCCTTCTAAGCAAACTTTAAAACAACAACCATGGTCTTTTCTGAGACTGATGCTCTAACCAAGGACTATGCATGGATATAACCTAGAACCCCTGCACAGATGTAGCCCATGGCAGCTCAGTCTCCAAGTGGGTTCCCTAGTAATGGGAACAGAAACTGTCTTTGACAGGAACTCAGTGGCTGGCTCTTTGATCACCTCCCCCTGATGGTGGAGTTGTCTTACCAGGTCACAGAGGAAAACAATGCAGCCAGTCCTAATGAGACTTGATAGACTATGGCCAGAGGGAAAGGGAGGAGGACCTCCCCTATCAGTGGACTTGGGGAGGGGCATGGGAGGAGATGAGGGAGGGTAGGAAGGTTTGGGAGGGGATGAGGGAAGGGGTACAGTGGGGATACAAAATGAATAAACTGTAATTTAGAAAAATATAAATAACATTTTAAAAGTGGGAAAAAAAAACCAACAATCAGTAAGCAGTGAAATTATTGCTATCAGAGCCTTTTGTACCTCTTAAAGTTGCATATCTTGCCCTTGAACTAGGCCCTGCTGTTTATATGACTGTTAGCATCCTTGCCGATTGCATGCTTCCATTCTCATTTCCTTGATTCTCTTCTCTCCTTCACTCCTCCATACACTTTCCTTCAATCTCCCACACTCTATCCATCATCCTACAATATCTCTACTGAATTTGACTACAAAGTTTTACCTATTTTATCCGATAGTAGATCTTTAACATGCTTTTTACTTCCAAGAAAGTAGAACAAACAATGGAACTTGAAGGATCAAAGAGTTTTGATAACTGAAGAAGTGAAACCATATTTTCAGTAGTGACTAAGTGAACAGACTTGCTGCCAGAATAAAGCAAAGAAAGCACGCTATTATTTTTAAAACATTCTTGTTTTAGACATATATGCCTATCAAGCATGAACAACCTTTCTAAAGCAAAAGTGAATCTAGGGGATGTCCTGGAACTAATGACTCCACCCCATCAGATACAGGGCACAGTATGTTATGAACTAGTCAACATTCATTGGTAAGCCATGTTCTACAAGGGAGAAAAAAAAACTTTTTTTTTTTTTTTTTATTCTCATAGGAAATATTATCTGGGGAAGATGTTACAATGTCAGACACAAATTGAAATTTTTCTCCTAAGTGTTACATGGACTGAGATAAGCTACAAATTATAACGGCAGTATCTAACACGATATTGTGAGAATATAGACAACCTTGAGTTATATTTTATGAAAGATATATATGACAATTACATTCTCCAAATTAGGAGGCTTCTCTCCTACTAAAAACCCCCAGTCTCTTCAAGAGAGGATTTCACACTATAGACCAAGCAAGACTGGAACTCAGGATCCTCAACCTCCAGAGTTCTAGATTACAGGCGTGGGCCAGAAGACAGACTAGATTATTACAGACATTCAGTGCCAGTTTATTTACATAATATGTTAAAAAAAACCTTTACATTAAAAAATTAAATTTCCCTTAAAAATTAACCTCATGCTACTGAAAATTACATATATACCAGGAAAAGTTTTGTTCCCAAATATCTAACAATCATTTATGAAATAACCATCAAGCTGGTAAAAATTATGTACATCTCAAATTTTTCAGTTTAACTAGTTTTCTTTTAATAAAAAGAAAAATGTAAGGATTGGCTTCAAAAGAGACACTTAATACAATATGCAATGATAGGATAAGGCAAATGTCTGTTTCAGTTCTGTCAAATTTAAAATCACCGTATTGAACGATACATCATGAAATCGATGGTTGTGCATCTAGGAAACTTCCCAATGGAGCTCTCTTCCACTGGTGTGTATATTTTAATCTGTCTCATGTGGGTATCTCTTCCATTCTGGTGATTGGCTAGAACAGCAATCTGTATCATGAATGTGCGAGTTGGCTTCTTATGATTGTCAGTTAAAGGAACGTGAATCCAGCCACTTGGTTCCACCAATTCAAGTTGCTGACAAGAGAAAAAATTATATTCACTGTATAAATAAGTTTATAATGAACACATTCTAAAATTATACTTAAATTTCTGCTCACTGAGAGAATGACAATACAGTACTAACCACCATGCCTGGCCTACTAACCCGTGGCTTCTTAAACCTGTGAACCTTTCTATGACCCTGAGCATATAGATAAAAGATATATAAAGCAAACAGTTATTAAGAATAAATCATAAAAATGATCTTAAAATAGTTCTTTGGTATATACAATTTAATAATTAAAGATGGGATGATGTGAGAGTACAAATCTAGAGCACTGTCAGTATCTTCCAGTTGATTGATATTTTGATTTTACAATAATGAATGCTGAAAATTTCACTCTGCATAAATATATACTATAAAATGGTAGATGCATATTTAGGGTCTTTTAGAAGTTGCTGGCGATTCTATCATAATCCTGAGCCAAAAGTCACTGAAATTGAAGCCACTGTTTCCATTGTTTAATCTGCTGTTCTGTCTTTATCCTATTCCAAATAAAACTTCTAAAAGAAATTGTCACCTTTGTAGCTCAAAACCAAAAGAGGTAAATTTCACTTATAAAACTGTCCTACTTTCCTTTAAAAAAAACTTTTTAAAAACTTTTAAATGATTTATTTATTTTTACTTTATGCATATTGGTGTTCTATCTGCTTGTATGTATGTGAAGGTGTCTGATCCCCTGCTACAGGAGTTACAGATAGTTGTGAGCTGCCATGTGAGTGCTGGGAACTGAACCCAGGTCCTCTGGAACAGCAGCCACTGCTCTTAAGTACTGAGCCATCTCTTCAGCCCCTTTCCTACTTTCTTGGTAAGAAGATTGTAAGTCATTAAATTTCATTACTATCAAGAACATGGGTCTTTCCTGGTTCAAAGTTCTTTTTCTTTCACAGTACTGGCTGTGACTTAAAAGAAGACTCACTTCCTTCAAGTACCCTTTTCCAGCTCCCCTCTTCTCTTTAGAACTTGCCTGTGTATCTCTATTCAACTTGCCTGCTGTAGTCCCTATGGCTCTGTCCCTAAACAATTTGCAAATTTCATAATATAGTCAGGATTCCCAACAGTCTATAAAAGGCAGGCATGCTGTCTCTAACCTCAGTGCTAAGGGCTGGGGATGGAGCTCAGTGTGAATAAACTCCACATGCAGTGAGACCCTATCTCAAAAAAAAAAAAAAAAAACAAACAAACAAAAAAAAAACAAAGTAGAGACCAATCAAAGAAGACACCCAGTATCAACATCTGGCACATGTACACCCCACCACCAACTCTAAAAGAAGAACTAAACCTCTGGGATAACAGCTGCTTTTTGACTAGCTGTGAGGTCCAGCCCACAGAAGGAGCTTGTGCTTGTTAATGTACACTTGGTCAAGAGCCTGTGGATGGGAAGGGCATATACCTAACAGGAAACCTAGTACTGCCCTTTTGCTAAATGAGCATGTTATCAAGCTGTCATCCAAATGCTAATGTTTATGCCCTTACCTTAGTGTTGTTCTCAGCCCTGGCTAGAGAACTCTCTTACTACAATGGGCAATGGTTAATTCAAAGTCTCACAAACTGGTCAAAAGCCAAAAATCTCTCTCATCACCCCCAGGCTTTGGAGGACATCTCAGAAGAGAGACAGAAAGGACATTAACATCTGTAGATAGAGATATGCTGTGAAGTCCCATGGCCATGACCCAGCTGGTGTACTCATAAACTCATAGCAGCTACGGTTACCTACACAAGACCTTCACAGACAGCCTGTAATATATGCATCCCATGAGTGGGAGAGGGACTCACCAGCACTCCCCTTCCATGAGAAACTGCTGTAATCCCTGTGTGCCTGCAGTTAGTAGGGGGGAACATCATTTTCCTTAGTAGTGTAGCACTAATAAATTGTCCTTAGTCTACAAATAACCTCTCAGCCATGCTCATATAATCATAATTAAATACAGATATAAAAGAGGTGAATTATTAAAAATTATTTAAAGGTAGACATGAAAGTAAAAGGAAGAGCTTCAGCAGGATGGGAATGGGGATCAATGATAGTAGATGAAAACAGCTATACATGGATGAAATTAACAAAGAAGAAAAGTAAACCTCAGGTTGTGCTGATATATTAAACATCTGTCCAAAAATACACAAATAACTGCTTGTATTCAAAACAGCTAGATATTTTCTGAGTTTGGTGGTACATGCCTTTAATCCTAGCACTTGGGATGCAGAGGCAGGCAGATCTCTGATATCAAGGCTATCCTAATCAACAGAGCAAGTTCACCATGTTAAAATGCTCATAAAAACACTATATGTAATTTTTTGACTACACACAAATGATCAAATAGATTTAAATACTAGTATGGTCAAAACGTGGAATACTATATAGCAGCAAAGAACAGCAATCTATACTCATCTATATTGAGGACTGTCACTAATATGATGAGTCAGAGAACTTATATACAAGACTATACATAACATAGTCTTTCTCCATAAGCAAAGAGAGAAAAAAACAAACTTTGCAAATAATGTGCTAACCACAAGGATCCAGCGCACATGAAAATCCATTCACTCAGTCAACAACTTGTATGCCTACTATGTAGATGTGAAACACTTTGGAAATGCATTAAGAAAAAGCAATCACTGTGCTTTGTGTTCTTTATGCTCAGGAAATAAATCTACTCACTAGTCCTTATACAAATGACACCGGCTATGATCTGCAAGTACTTTGAGAAAGAGTTCAGCAAATATACATTCTTTTCCTCTGGCTCCCAGATTCTATAACAACTGACACACTGGGGAAAACACATGAATCCATAAAAGCAAGGGAGATGGACAAACAGATAAATACTGCTAGGTTATGAAGTGAGAGAGGTCAGTTTGACAACTAACTTCCAGTTCACTAACTTCCATGCACTCTACTCACTGCACAACAGGTGGAGAGGTGGGGTTTAAAGAAGAGGTAGTAGAGGGCTAGAGACTAACAAGAGGCAAGGGAACTGAACTCCAGTATCTCTGAACTTGGAAGTGAAGGCAGTTCTGAAGGAATGAATACCAAGTTGGAATAAAAATAAACCAACAAGCAAACAATAAAACTAGCCAGGCGCACACGTGAGAACTAGGTGTCCTAGATCCTCACCTGCTTATGGTTGTCCAGGCTCCTTCCCTACTCTTACAGAAAACAAAGGCTTTTCTATGTAGACTAAACAGGAAAAGATGGCGGCAGCATCATAAGGCCCAATAGTAAGCCCCTTCACTCCTTTCATCTTGTGCAGTTATAAGAGCACTGACTCCTCAACAGATCACCTTGTATCTCCCTACAGATCCTTCCACCAACCCTGCAAGGTACCCAGGTCAGATAAAGAATCATTTCTGGGAAAAATGGAAAGTCCGTAAGAAAAGACCTACTGATAATGACATGCACATGTCCTTAATTTAACAGATACTTATTGAGTAACTCATCACTTTATGCTGGGCACTATTCAAATTGGCTTACCTATACTGATAAAAACAAAAACAAATGTAAGCAGTTACTGTTCTCATTGGGTAAGACAAAACAACTCAAATATGTAATTATAAAGCATATGAAATAATAAAAGCAGTATGGGAGGAAAAGAGAGAAAAAGACAAAGCAGAATCATTGAGAGCATGCACATACAATTTTAAATAAGGTGAACATTTTATACCTCAGAAGAGGAACATGAGCAAAGCCTTGAAGGATATATTGGTTCCAGCTAAGTCATACAATCTCAAAGCCCATGAGCAATCACCTCTACCAAACTACCAAACTGAACTCTTTAAATATGAGAAAACAGCCAACGATCTACCAGCATGTAAACAAATAAAACAAAACAGAAAATGAAATAAGAAAACAAAAAAGTAATTCCAGTGAGAAGCACTGAAGGGAATGTCAGAAATTCCAAAAAAGTAACACATTAATATCGCCAGTGACACAACATATCCATGAAACAAGAAGAGAATGCTATTCTCTTAAAACCAAAACAGAAAGAGACCTTTTATAACAACAAAAAAAAGTACACATGAAGATTAAAAGTTCTTTAAGTAATAGAAGTTAAATCAATCACTTAGGAAAACAAAGAGAAATTAAGAAAACAGGAATTAAGTATTGTAATTAAAAATGTCAGGCTGACTTTTTGAGAGAGAACAGAGAAAACAAAAAGGAAAGTATCAAAGCACATGAGCATGTCACAGGACCTCAAGACAGATGGTCCCAAATTGATAGGATCCAACACAATGACAAGGCAAAGCACCGTGAGAGCTCAAAGCAGCAAGGATTAAAAAAATTATAAAAGCTTGTAGAGAGAAAATAGGTCACATGCAAAGTATCAGAAATCAAAAGTGGTGTTGTGTTTCTCAACGTTTACACTGAAAACTATGAGGTGATGGAGAATGTGTTTAAAATAATGAGGAAAAATCATTTCCAAACTAGAATTCCATACCCAGCCAAATCATCCCTCAAGGGTGAGATTAAAATAAAGTTTTCAGTCATGCAAGGTTTCAATAATTTACCTCCCATGTGGAAGATGAATTCCACCCAAAAGGGAAGCAAAACAAGAACGATGAGGACCTGGGATCCAGAAATAAGGACCGGCAAAGAGAAGAAGTGACAGAAACTCTGCAGATGATGTTGGAGGCAAAGCAGACAAGATGGCGATGCACATCTGAAAAGCAGACACAAAATCTGGAAAATTATAGTTCAAGAAAAGTAGAAAAAGAAGGGTTTCTGAGCGAAAACGAGGCTGGAGCCTGGGGAGGCAGAAAGAGCTGCCAGAGGGTGATGCAGGCCTGACCCCACAGGAAGGCAGGCTGCAGGCCACAGGGCAGTCAGAGTAAAAACTGAGCAAAGACAAGCCTCCTTTAGCACAGTCATGGCTAGGAGCCGACTACGAGGGAATACCCTCGAAGAAACATGGCAACTGAATCCCCAGAGCAGCGCTGGTGCTATCAACTAGACCCGTGGTCAGATCTGAGAGAAGCACTCTCC